CCCCCCCCCCCAAAACAACAACAACATTTCCGGCTCCAAGCGCAGCAGGACAACGCTAACTGTACACAGCATTGACGGCAGCAGAAACAAATTTCCCAAATCCTCCTGCAGGTCAACCACAGTGGCTCGCTCTCGCTCAGGCGGTGTTCAACACCCAGAAGGTCCGCTGGGATGAGACGTCTTGCGCCGGGGGCCTCAAGTGGCAGATCTTTACGTTTAACAACGGTTACAACTACAAGAATAGCATAAGTAACGGATGCTTCATGAATATGGTTCTTCGCCCCCCTCCCCCGGGCCCGCAGCTTCGGGCTCGCTCTCCTCCGACGTTGTCGAGCAGTCGCTGACCATTCGTCCTTTGTAGGCTGCTCGGCTCGCCATGTATACAGGCAACACTTCTTACAACGAATGGGGTTAGTCAGATACCTTCCGGTTCATGGAAACAATGCTGATATGTATGTCCCATAGCTGATAGGGCATGGGAATGGTCGCGCTCAGTTGGGTTGGTCAGCGATACCTACCTGGTTTACGACGGCACGGATGACAACCTGGATTGCAAGGAACTGAACCACTTGCAATGGTCATACAATTCCGGCGTGTACTTAATGGCTGCAGCGACAATGTGGAACATCGTTCGTCTTGCAAGCTACAACTCTCTTGTCCACACTGACATGGTTTCTAGACAGAGGGCGCCACGAGGGACCAGTGGCAAACTCGCACACAAGGACTTCTCAATGCCACGAAACAGATCTTCTTCTACCCTAACGGCACGATGCAAGAGACTGCGTGCGAAGGAAGCCACAATTGCAACATCGACCAGCAGACATTCAAAGCCTATCTTTCCCGATGGATGGCGGCATCTACCAAAGTTGCTCCATGGACCAAGGACACTATAATGCCTTTGCTTGCATCGTCCGCTGAGGCTGCGGCCAAATCGGTGGGTCATCATAGCTCAATGATGTAGTTCGCGCACCTACTGATAGCATTGGCATCTTAGTGCACCGGCGGCGACGACGGCGTAACCTGCGGCACGTCGTGGACGGGAGGCTGGGATGGTGCTTTCGGGGTCGGACAACAGATGAACGCTCTTGAAGTGTTTCAGTCCAACCTTATCTCGACTGCGAGAGGACCCGTGGGCAATTCTACAGGAGGAACATCGCAGGGTGACCCCAACGCCGGCTCAGACAGTGGTTCAACTCCAATAACGTATGCTTCATCCCATCAGCAAAGCCCACCATCTGCGAATCTCGAAGTTGTGCTGACTTTCGAAAGATACAATGCCATCACCACAGGCGACCGAGCAGGAGCAGGGATTCTGACCGCCATAGTGTTGATAGGACTGGTCGGGGGTGGCTATTGGATTGTGACGTGATCGCAATGACCAGTTCTCGAGATACTACTTCCATAAGGCTTTCATGCATTCTGAGTCGGGTTGAAGTACCACGAGCGACTGCCTTCGAAGTACGACATCATCCCTTGGCATGGCACCGGCACGGCCGGGAAAGGGCGATACTGTTTGAAGGCATCGTGAGGCTCGGCGAACAACGTGGACACTGGTCGGTCCTCAATTGCGTCGAATGACAGACGTCACGGTTCGCCGCGCAGATAGTAGATGGTAGAATTCGAAATCGACAGGATGTGCGATGGCACCTGGACAATTGATTTTCTCCAAATCACGCACATCACAAAATGTCCCGTCTCGCCGTCAACGGTGTTGAACAACGGCACCAGCAATATACATGCACGAAGACCAGGAATGAAATGGTGGGAAGAAGCATGTGGAAATTAAGAGCTGTGTAATGATGTTGACGTACCTACCACAAGAAACTTTGAGAAGGATAATAGACCAAACAACCTATTTCATTCGTGAACATACAACCTTTTCTAAGCGTTACACTCTCTCCTGCCTCGATCTCGGTGTCGCACCACTTGCAACAGTCCCTTCCCGAGCGCGCGCGCGAGCAAGCATGGCGACACCGTCCGAGTAAGGCTCAAATGGAGCAGAGGTGAGTTGTATCATAGCGTTGGTGCTGTCGCACCGTCTGTGCCTCTCTGTATCTTAGACTTCATCATCATCCTCCTCCTCATCCTCCTCCTCCTCATCAGCTCCGCCTCTGGACCGCAAAGCGATGAAGTCGTTCATAGTCTCTTGCGCGATCTGCTTGAAGCTCCACATGTAGTTGCCGGTCACATGGAGCGGCTCTGACTTGACCCACTTGCGATTGACCTTGACATACCCACGGTACCGATACCAAGGAACGAGCTTCTCTCTGCCTTGCCCATGCGCCATGCTGAAGTCAATCAGTGCCTTGTGATAGTCTTGATCGTCGCGGACAATGAACTCGTTGACGATGCGGTTGAAGAGGAACGATCGAAGGTCGACGCGTGCTCCAGGATGCTGGCTCAGCCTCACCTTCTTTGCACGCACGAGGTCGACGAAATCTGCAACACAGGTGACCTTTGTCCCAGTGTACTTTGCAAGGTGCTTGTACAGACTCTTGTAGTCAATGCACTCCGAAGGGATTAGAAAGTGGCTTCCAGGCATCGATCTGTCCTCAGTGCCGATGCAGTCGATGGCGAACACAACTGGGCGGCGTGGCTTGGCGATCGCCTGGACCGAGACCTTGTACATTCCCACGAGCCCCGATGTCTTTGCCACCTGCACACCAAGGCTGCGCACCATCAAGAAAGTCTGATAAGGCTTGAAGTGGCCGGCGTGGAGGCTCATTGGAAGCTTGCGGGCATTTTTGTCGTACCGGAACTTGTCTTCTTTGCTCCAACGACAGATGGTGAAAGCCTCAGTGCCAGGGTTCTTCTCTTTCCCTATTGGTAGGAGAACACCGAAGCCGTTCTTTCGGCACTGCGCATTGAAGCGCTCACGCTTCCAATCGTATGTCCCCTTTGACACGTTCTTGTTGCCGATGGCCTCCTTGGAGGCCGCCTTTGATGCCTTGCTCGGCATTTGGTCGATCTCGTCCACCTGTTGTGCTTCCGACTCCATCACTGGAATGTTGTAGGCCAAGTAACGTTCGATATCTTGACTGGTGGAGCAGCTGAGCAGCTCGGCTGAGCGACGAGGTGTTGGATCCTTCGCAATGATGGCCTCAGCGTTCCGAAACCATCGCTTGTCGGAGATGGCTATACGATAGTCTTGAACCTTGTGCTTTGGAATGATGATCTCGGTCTGGTCCGTCCACCAGCTGGGTTCGACGACGGAACAAGGGATCCAGTAGACTACACGGCCGTTCTGGGAGAAGATGCAGATGTAAGTCCACTGCCTGAGAGGGTGAAACATTGAACAGGCTTTGATGCGCTCTTTCGCTCTGAGGGCAAGGAATCCGATGTTGACCACAACGTCGTTGGTTGTCTCTGTGAGCAATCCATCCTTGATCTCAATCATGGACTTCCATCCATCGTTGCGAAGAGTAGCATCACCAGTCCGTTGGTGGTCGGCGAGATCCAGCACGTAGTCGTTAGAGAAGTCATTAACAGCCGTTGCGAGCTTGTCGAATCCCCCCCGAGCAGCTCCATCCATCTCCAGAGCCTCTGCAATGACCTTCTTCGTCAGGTCTTTGAGGAATGCCGTGGGGTTGAAGCGGGCTTCAGTTCCAGGTACAATGTAATCAGAGTTGGTGCGCAGCGCATTGGTGAGTCCAGTGAATGCCAGGGCGGATGATTGTTGCTTGAAGGCGAATCCGATCAAAGGACCTGGTATCTACTGCAAGTCAGACGACGAAATTGGCAGAACATAGCTTACTTACCGGCAATTGGATCTGGATGTGTCCGCGACCGCCCGGAACGTATTGGGGAGGCAGCAAGAGTGACGGTACAATAGCCGCCATGCCTGGTTCGTCGCGAAAGACGAGATAGATGAAGGCACAGTTGTCGTTCTGAAAGGCAGTCTTGAATGGAGTGATGAACTTGGACTGCCAGCGAGTCTTGGTCTTGTAGATCACTCTCGTGGAGCCGGATTTGTCGTCAATGAGGGCAACATGTTGCGGATCGATGCGCCCCGCCTTGAACTTCGTCTCGAACAACTTCAGCTTCTCTAGTGGGCTGAGATTCAAGAAAGCTGCTCCGTCTGGACCGAAGTACAAGAGCCTGTCCACCCTGGCCGCTTCAAAAGATGCAATCAGAGACGGAACTTCAGCAGTCTGGCGGGTATTCCGGCCTTGGTGCGCGTATCCCACGAGGGCGGAAAGGCCGATTTTTCCAGCATCGTCATGTTGACCCGAAGTTCCTCATTTTGGGCAGTCAGGATTGGTGTAGACTCTCGTAGAGGAAAGTCGGTTGCTGGAGCCTGTGGCTGAAGTGCACTGATTTGCTCTTCCAGCATGCTGATCTCATCCTTCTTTGCTTTGGATTTTCTGCCCTTGGCCTTGCGCGCTTCTGCCAGCTTCCCTTGGAGCTCAGCGAGAGTGGCGGTGGGCGAGGCGGGCTCGGATTGAGAGTCTTGGTCTTGGGACCCCATGGCGAGGCGCAGACGAGGATGTTGGCTGAGGGGACTGGTTTTGTGGGATGGCGAAGGGGGAGTTTATGGCACCGGACAGACGACGGCGGAGAGCAGGTTCTTGGGTTGTGCAGTAAGACAGCGTGTTGCAGAGACAGCCAGAAGCGGCGGGCGTCGTGTTTGCCGAAGGCGGCCTCCTCCAGCGGTTGGGAGAGGTCGACGAGTTTCCAGGGGGTTCTGCGACAGGATGTGGTGCCTCCTAGAATTGGCCAGGCTGCATGATTGCGGTTTCTTTTTCTGGTTGGTGGTGGTGGTGGTGGTGGAAAACAAGAAAAAGCGAGGCGAATACGCGCAAGTTACATCATCTGTGTAACTCCAATCAATTTTCGCTGCGCCGTCTCGCGTCACGTCTACCACGTTCACCCGCTTCCACCATCGAGAGTTCCGCCACCCACACACCCCAACATTCCTCCTCCTCCTCCTCCTCTTCACCCCACGCACTCTTCGCAACATGGTTCAGCGGAAGGCAAAACCCGATGTCGACGCTGTCGACATCAACCGGCAGGGTCCCGACTATCCACTGTATATCGCTGGCCCGGACAGCGCACGCTACCCATATTCACATCCGCTGATGTCCGGCAACAACAGCAGCGAAGTCCCGTTCGCCGTCCATTCGGTCCTGGCGTGGAATGATGCTCTGAACGACCACGCGGCTGCGCTTGGCTTTGATGGTTTCTTCTTCTGGACAAACGCCGCCGACTCTCCTAACAGCGACTCGGCCGTGAGAGGCGGTCCTGACGTCGTCTTCGCGAGGGCCAGACGTTCCAAACAAGACCGAGAGCGTTGGAGGCGCTCGAATCTAAGGTACGTGGTCTACGTTGTGCCTGTGCTGCGCACCGCCAATTGACAGTTCCCAGGACCAAAGTACAGCTGTGCTGTCTGGGTCTGATGCTCCACACGCTCCCGTACGATTATCCCTGCCACGCCATCTGGATGCCCAAGACCCCACCACCGTCATACACCGAATATCCTCATCGGCGGAGCATCAACTCTCTCTTACCAGCAAATTGGGTCGGCGCCGACCCAACTGTGCGGAAGCTGGGGACTTTCAAAGGCACACCAGGCATCTATATCGACATCCTCAAAAACCGCTTCATGTGCCTGTCCGTTACCCAGCTGAAGCGGCTGGTGTCCAAGGAAGGCGGACAACCGTACGGAGGCCTAAGACTTTTGAGCAAGAAGAAGACAGTTCCTGAGAATATGGACGCATTGATGCACGACGGAGGCAAAGATCCAGTTTTCGCATTGCTGCAGCACTTTGGCCAGGTCATGTCGACGATCACCGCGCAGTGTTTGACATTGCAGCAACTTCGTACCTGGTGGTACAAGGGCTTGATATCCGTTGACCCGAACTACGGCATCGCGCTCACAACCGTCAAAGCCCGTGCGAGCAAAGGCGGCAACGCCAAAGGCAAGACTGACTCCACAGTAAGCGGTCGTGGAAATCGCAGCGGTAGCCGTGGGGCTCGTGGTGCTCGTGGCGGAGGAGCGCGGGGCAGTCGTGGGGATGGAGGTCGTGGAGGAGGGGCTCGTGGCGGTCGCGGCGGCGCAGGTCGAGGTATGTTGGCGTTCCTACATTGTCAAGACATCTCAACGCAAGCTAACGTTCATCGGGCAACAAGTCCAAGACTACGAGCACCAAGAACCACATCTTCAGTAGCGAGATGGGAGACCTCGACCTCGACGATGCGAGTGAGGAAGCAGAGGAGGAGGCAAAGAGAATGAGTGCAGAGTCGGATGAAGATGCGATGGATGTCAGCGGCGCTGCGAGCGACGACTATGCCCCTTGGAGGGTCAGATGAGGTGGAACATACGAGGTGAAGTCGAGTCGGGGCAGTTTCGCTTGGCGGGAAGAAATGGACAGGATGGTGTGGAGATACCGCATGATGTGGTGATGTTTATCAAAGAACATGCCTGATGCATTCCAGAACCAGACTGCCGTTTGCTGTCATCAGGAGAAGGCAAGGAATATTCTTTCCCGCTCCATCTCTTCTTCAGCCAATTTCTCCCTGCTCTTCACATCACGAACATCAAAGGAAAGCAGAAAGAATTCCACTACCCATGGCCCGTTTTCATTGCAAATCTGTCTATGCTAAGTCTACACGCAAACTTTTGGCGTTTGACATCGTCGTCAAACGCAAATCCAAATCAAAAGCAGAAGCAGTTCAAACTCCAGTCATCCAGTATTGAAAGGAGCGGCGCGGCTTGCGGAACCCGACAAGTCCAGGTAAGATGTTGGCGTGGTAATGCTACAAAGTCGTAAAAGCTGTCGTTGTTCATGAGGACTGTCGGTCAGTCGGTGGGTGGTTCCATGGGTAGCTGAAGAAGTTTTTTTTTTGGCGGATTTGTTGTTTTCTTCGGTGTGATGCTGGCGTCTGATGTTGGGAGGGGAGCGGCTGCTCTCGCCTTGCCGGCATGAACGAAAGCTGCATCCCATCAAGTCCATCTGCCCTGAGTCCATTACTCGGAGTAGTCATCATCTTCCTCGTCCATCTTCTCCATGGCCTTCCGAGATTGGACACCAAACTTTCTGTCCGCCTCTCACGTTGGCATCTCGCTTGGTCGCTCAGATGACTGCTCTTCGGTGCCTCCACTGCCCTCGCCGCTGCCCTCGCCGCTGCCCTCAGTCCTCGCCTCACTGGGTCCTCCGCTACCATCGCTCCTCGCCTCAGTCCTCGTCTCGCCTGGTCGTCCCCTGCCATCACTTGGCACTTCGCTCCCATCACCTGATGTCAAATCGCCAGATTCACTGTCTGGGACGACAGGTCCACGTTGAGTAGGACGGAGTTGTCGTGGTTGGTTGGCATGGAATCTCTCCTCGATTTGAGCAGCAGTGGGACGGGTGGCAGTGGTTGGAGATGGCGGGACCAAGCCAGCACGCTCCAGGCCGCCGCGGTTCCTGGACAGCTGAAGGTGACGATTCGTCGATCCATGAGCACGCAACGAGCGCTCTAGACTGAGGTTTGAGCGAGTCGACGATCTGCCACCGAGGTAGGTGCCGGCACCTGAAGGTGCATTTGGGTCGATGCTGGGAAGGAACAAGCCACGGCTGCTGCTCGGATCTGTCGTCTGCTGCCTGTTGGACTCTGCGACCGCTGTGGACAGCGACGCAACACTCGCACCCGCTCCTGATCGACTCAACAGTACGCGAGGTAGTCGTCCAGATGCTGGGCGAGGCTGCTTACGTTGAGGTGACCCGCTCGGAGGGTCTTCCGTTCGAGGCGGCTGAGGCTCCTCCTCACCCAGCGCCGCACGAGTACGCCGCGCTGGTGCCTCAAGGCGTGCCTGGCTGAACGTGCGGGTCAAGGTCGGAGACGTGGGTTCAACTTGGCCAGATGGTTGGTCGCTGGGCTGAGGCTGCTGGTTTGCTTCACTCTCTCCGTGTTGAATGCTCAGATTGCTCATTGGTCATTCAATTTGTCGACATTGTCGGGAGCATCAACAGGATTCTCTGGCAAAGCCGGCAAGTCTGGTGAGTCCATTGACATCTTGTCGTCGTCATCTCCGCAAGCTGGAAAATATGGCGGTGGTGAAGAAGGCAACTCAGGTAAGTCACGTTGTATCTTCGCAGGCGGTCGAGAGCCAGCTGGCGAGGATGCCGTGCGGCGCTTGAAACCTCGAGCTGGTGGAGCGTCACCAAATGGAAAGTCGTTGTCATCCGAACTGCCTTCCAGATAGTAGTGGTCCATGTACGCTCGACGAGCCCTCGTGCGATAGAATTCGAACCAGTCTTGGGCGGAGCGGTGACTGTGCTGTTGGGCGATGCCCTCCCACATGGCGACTGAAGTGCGGTGTTGCTCGATGTCTGGGAGCGCTTGGAGGTGCTCAAGATCCTCAGCATCAGCGCTATTACCAGAGAACAGCAGCTGGTTATTCACGTCGTACATCACGATGTTGTGCGATGCATCATGGCCGCGGGGCTGAGGCTGGGTGTCATCGTCGTCGTCGTCGTCTTCACTGTCGTCCGTATTCCAGTCTTTCTGCTGGTCGTCGGGAGAGTTTGGCGGCGGCGGAGAAGGAGAACGCTCAGAGGGCGCCAGTGGTGAGGAAGAGGAGTGCTTGGAGCTGATGATGAAAGGTCGCTCGAACTTGTCTCCAACACGTGGCTGTTGTGCACCACTGCCAGCCTTGCCTTTGGCGCCGGCCTTGCCTTTGGTGTTGGCGTCGTCGGCCTTCTTTTGACCACTCTTCGGCATGGCCGCTGCCTTCTTGGACTGCTCCTCGGGTTTCTTCTCTCGACGAGCCTGCTCTTCCTTGTAGAGTTTGAGAGACTCTTTCGTGGCCGCTGCGAGCTGCTTTTCAGACTCAAGCTTCCTTGATGCGGCAAGTGCTTTCTGTAAGTCCCGATCCTTGTTTCCCGATCTTGAAGGTGGAGGTGGACAGCTGAAAGGGACGTCGACCTCTCGGTTATGGCGCTGCTGTTTGAGACGTGCGTCCAAATAGGAATTGGATTCCCTGGCCACGACCTGCGTGAGCTGGGTGCCGATGTTGCTGTGGCGAAATATCGCCTCCCACAATGCCTTGGCGAAGTCACGGCCGCGGCAGAAGGTACCAGTCAACGTCGTGCGAGCAGAAGTGAGCAAGTTCGTTGCCAGGCCCTGGGTGCCACCAAGATTGAAGCCTGCCCAATACTCATCCTCCAGTCGTGGGAGCTCGTTCAAAACCGACACAAAGTACTGGAGCACGGAGTCGAGAACCGCTGCTAGTGCATTGCGAAGTGGGACATCGTCCTGGTCCTCGTAGAAACCAATGGCAGTGTCCTGAAATTGTTCCTTCCTGCTCTCCGCCAGAGCAGCTGCGATGGCCGCCATATCAGCATCTGACAAGGGCCGCAATAGCACACCATATACGGGAGCTCTGGATCCGTAGATGTATTGACTCTGATTGTCGGTGATTCTCAGCTGCTTCTGTTCATCGTTGTAGCGGTCCCAATACTCAAACTCGTCGAGAGCGTCGTTTGGCTTTGAGGTGATGACATCTGCGGTGAGAGTCTCGCTTGGCATCCTACGGCTGTCAACGAAGTAATGGCCTCCGTCGGCGCGGTGACCAACGTGGTGACCCTTGAAGACGACAAAGACTAGACGACCCAGCCCCAGGACAGGAAGAGGCTTCGTCGGGATGATCGTTGGAGTACGAATCTTCTTCGTCTCTTCGGTGTCGTATGTCCACAGTCCAAGGGTCGCGAATATCTCGTTGAGCTGGTTAGCCTCATTCTTTCTCTCGATACCGATCGAATGCACGAATCTAGGAGGAGCAGCTTCGTTGCAACCTTTGCATATGCGCTTGAGGCCTGACTTCTCGAAGTACGTCGTCTTTGTCGCGAGTAATTCAACCAAGTTCACGGCCTTTTCTTGTCGCGGGACTTCGAGGTTGAGTTGCCATTCTGGGATTGGGTACCGGGCTTCTGAAGAACCACATTGACAGACCGTATCTTGACGAAGACTGAAGTCGATTACATCGGTGAGCGTCTCGACTGGGGCATTCGCATCGTCGGGAGCGTTCGCATCGTCCTTCTCCTTTTGGGGTTTGATGGCAAGCGTGCGAATCGGGAGTGATAAGAATTCGTGAGGATCTTGTTGGTGGCCATGTGAGAAGTCGATGCCAGTGAAGGGCTCCATGGGGGCGAGGAGCGTCTGAATACGCCGGAAGAGCGAGAGCGATTCGCGTAACTCACCATTGTCGAGTGCCAGAAGAATCTTGAAGATCGTTTGACCAAAAGCACTGACAGGCATCTTGCCGTCGTCAACTGTTTCACGAACCCATTTGATGACAGCCCTGCAGTGGACAAGCGCCCACAAAGCATATGCCTGGTAGCATGTGTTGCCGAGCTGAGCAAGACCTGTTTGTGTGTCGCCAAATCTCTTTGATGCCTTTGCCATCTTGTCGAACTTGGCTTGATCATCGCCCTCGCCCTCGCCCTCACTCTCGCCCTCACTCTCGCCCTTACTCTCCTCCTCACTCTCCTCCTTACTCTCCTCCTTACTCCGCTCCTCACTATCTTCCTCACTCCCCTCCTCACCTTCTCCATCACCTGCACCAGGCTTCTTGCCACTGGCGCCGCCTTGCTTGCCTTGGCCGGGCTTGCTGCCGCCGAGAGACTTCTTCGCCGCACCAGGTAAAGTCTGTTCACCGGCAGGTGGATCGAACAGACCAGCCGCGGCGTCAAGGCCTCGAGAGTTTGGAGAAAGACCAGCGACGAATGTGCTCAGGTGAGTTGGAGTCTCCCAGGTCATGACCTTGTAGAGCTGGTGAAATGCCATGATCATTGCATTTCTCAAGTCCTTGTCCATGTCCATGGTGTTCTGGACAAAAAGCTGACGTCATATCATTGGAGAACTTCTTCACCAGTGCAACTTCGTACTTGTCCGACAGAATGCTCTCCAACTTGGAATGCGCTGGGATGAGACTCTTCACCTTCTCGAAAACGTTCTCCACCTCGACGACATCAAGTCTCAGCTCCTCATCTGTCTCGCCCTTCAAGGTGGGAAAGATTTGCGCCGCCCACGTGTAGAAGCGATCGTCCTTGGCAAAGAAGCGCTCGCGGTTGTGGAGACACTTCACAAAGTCGTCGACGTCGGCAGCGGAAGGTGGGTTGGCTTTCTTCACTTGAGCGCGCTGGATTTCGGAGTAGAGGGCGATGCACTCGTTGATGACAGCGGTAGACTGGCGCGTTCCGGTGAGGTTGTTGAACTGGCTGAAGCGGCCGCCCGCTGGCGGAGGAGGTGAGGTCTCCTCACCTGGGGATGAGGTGGGAGGAGGGTTCGTTGCGGCCTCGGAGGCTGGCTCCATTCCACCCATTTCCACATCAGAGCCTGAAGGGCTGTTGACTTCTTTCTCTTTTGCTTTGGACTTCTTCTTGGCGGCAGGGGCGTTCTCCTTACCCTTGTCGGGCTTGGAGTTCTTGGGCTTTGGAGCCATCGTGGTGGTGTCTCCGCTGTGTAGAGATGTCGAAACCGTAGAGACGTGCTTCAGGGGCTTGGTCGTGTAGACAGAAGTGGGGATGAACTGATGAAGGTCGCTCGGATGAAATGATTCCAGAGGCGCCGTAGAGCAACTGGGTGTTCAATCAGACGAACGGGTTATGTGATCAAGAAACAGGGCCAACAGAAGGCATTTTATCCTCCTGGTGAAGACATTTAGCCCATCTCCTGCTTCATCAGGCTTGCTTGTTGCTATTCAAAGCCGTCACAAAGAGACTCCAAGCTTCGTCTGCACCGTTTGTACGAAAACACGTCATGTCTGATCGATGATTCCAGCCATGCATACGTTTGCTCATGCGCATTGCCGTCGGTAGCGCTTTGGGTGCGCGATGGTAGGGGCCAAGCGCGAGGCGCATGCGCTGCACCCGTCAAAGCGCGGTGGCGGTCTGCTGCGTCCTTGTCTTGGTCAAGACTCCTACGGCAACGATGGTGTTTGAGACACAGAGGACGAGATGCTACGATGAGAGCGCTCCTTGTCGCGAGGGTGTTGTCTGTCGGTGGGTCAAGCAACACTAACCGGATGTGGCGATGGCAGGAAGCATCCCGCTTGATGCAGGTGAAAAATTCATCCCCATCGCGTGCAGGCCATCAAGCCGCCCACACCACGGTGAACAGAGGCGCGGTCCTTCTTGCAGAAATGGAGAGCAATATCGGTTTCATCCGTTGCCGTTTGAGCAAAACGACGAGGGCAGGCGTTCGGGAGTGCGTTGGCTGCTGTCTGTACAGTCTGCTCCCGCCGTCCTCTTGCCGAAGCGCCGTTTGCGACCAGGTTGCTCCATGGTTGGCAGAGGATCACAACGCGTTCACGGGTACTGGATGAATTTCCACGCGCTTTGATGGGCGTGCCGTGCGGCAACATATCGACTGCGACGCGTGGGTGGGCGGTCGTGGTGGTGCAGAGGAGGTCGAGAGGTGTTGTGGCATGCGCGGCAGAGCGCGCGGAAGCGCGGGAGGCGAGCGCCGCTGGGGTGACATTTATAAGTTTTAGAAAATTTGCGCAGCCAATCTCCTCCATCCTAGGGTGGCCCTTGATCAAGCCACAGGAGATTTCAGTCTGACCGACTATAACTCGTTACTCCACGGAGTATAAAAAGTCTAACCGACTATACTCGTCTAGTCTGACTGACTATAACTCGTTACTCTCCGGAGTATAAACAGTCTGACCGACTATAATCGTCACTCTCCGGAGTATAAACAGTCTGACCGACTATAACTCGTCAATTGACTGTGTACTCGCCCCTATCTGCCTCAGCCTGGAGATCCGCGAGGGACTCGGGCCCGCTAGCTTTCCCCTACCTGGGATGTTGGCGAAAAATCAAACCTACCGACGTGCTTGCAGTCGCCGAGGGTCTTGTTCTTCCTTCGGGGAGTTTGTTTTGTCAAGGTGTGGGACTTGTGATTTTTTTTTTTGGTCTGATGCCTTGTGAATTTTGTGTGGAGGCGCAACGCGAGGCTGCCCCGCCCGTTGCTGTGACAACCAAGCTGTGCAGCAAATCAACAGATGGGTGGGTGACCACAGCGAGTGTCTGACTGACGGTGCGACTGCGGCTCGAACAGGCAACGGATGCCGCCCGAACGGGCGACGGTTGCACCTGCATAATTTGCACAAAGCCGCCTAAACTTGCCAAAGTCCTAGCGATCGGACACACGTGCGGCGAGGCGGCAGGCGGCGTCGCGCCGCCAACTGCGTGTTAGTTGGCATACAAGGGGGGTTGGTGTCTGTCGTACGGCGCCTACTACGAGGCATCTAAGCGGCGCAATTCGCATGCTACGAGCCATATATCGAGGATTCACCAAGTCTGAAGATATGATGTACGAATACGCCTTCTTCGGCCAGCGCCACGCACCTGGTCTCCCGTCCACACTCCCCTATGCACTCATCCACGCGCGCTCTACTTAAACATGTCCACAATGTCGGGGCATGGGCTGAAGGCATCGAAGAGAGATTACACTGCACACAGGATCAAGCTGAAGCAGCATGGACGCCACAAGAAGCCGAACGCAGTCTCGACGGAGCTCAAGGTGCAGAACATTGCGGAGTGGTGGCAAAGGTGTGTCGGATTGGTCTGTCATGTCCATACTTAGGACGCTCATGATCCACAGTTACTGCCATGAAATCCTCGCTCTAGATGGCGACGAGGCCCTTCGTGAGGGAGACATCGAAAGTTTTTCCAATGGCTCGTCGACCAAAACAAGAAAGGACCTCAGCAGAGTGTGACACTGCTAGGATATTTCCGCATCCTCAAGATGGTTTACGTGCGCCTGACCGACAAGGAACTGGATCTACAAGTTGTTAGAGACGTGAACAATGTGAGTTGCACCGACTCCAAGTTGCCATTGGTGCTCACTGTGTTGCGAACAGTACATACGATATCACCTCGAAGGCAAGAAGAAGGACTCTCCCCGGCCCAAGTCTGTACCGTCAGGGGAAGATTTTGTCAAAATGCTGCATTACCATTATGCACGAGACAGAGATCGGTATGACAACGAGCGACAACGGGTTCAGCAAGCGTTTTTGATGATCATCCACGGCAGTAGCGGGGTCCGGCCAAGCTCTACAATGCGTACCCACGTTCGGACTGGGAATGAGCATCAGTCTCAGGAACATGGAGGTGAACGCAAGGACGAAAGCGGCGACGAAGTCATGGAAGTGCCCGAGGAAGATTCAGAGTTCCATACGTTACGTTACCGCGATTTGGAACTCAGCGCTGTACGTACGCAAAACGGCGTTCGATACATGGTGCGACCGAAGTTTCGTCATTTCAAAGGAGGGGAGCGGAGAGCACAGAAGTATGTTGACTTCGGTGAAGTTTGCGTGCACTACTGACCTTCTCTAGCAAGACATTCTCTTGGCTCGACCAAGACGATATCCTGACTTGTCCTGTTGCGCATCTTGTTGCTCTTGCCCCGGACGATCGAGCCTTTAAAGTAGCGGAAATAACTCCGGCCCAGCATGTGCTTCAGATTGGTTTGGCCCAACGTCAAAATCAGCTGGTCTTCCACTGGCGCGACGACATCAAGGACAAGCCAATAATGCGGACAGGTAGCTCTCTCGATGCCGATGAAGTCAGCGATGGCATGGCACTGAAGCGACTCTCGAGTTTGGGAAAGAACACCATGGGATATAAGGAGTCATTGACCTGGTACTGCATTCGTCGAATGGTCCTGAACAAGATCGATCACATAGGATCTGATGAGACTCGAAATCAGATCTCTGGGCATTTCGACAGCCGCACGTACAGAGCACACTACATGGATCAACAGATTGGTATCGACGTCATTGCTGCCGTGAGAGGACATCGGCGTGAGGAAGATATCATAGAGGACGTCAACAGCATGGGATCGTCCGCCGATACTAATGCGAACCGACAGTTCTCGACAGAAGATCGAGCGGCTATCGAGCAAACTCCGGAAGTGGTCGAAGCCAGAGTCCGCCTCCAGAAGACAAGTCAAGCCGTGCTAGATGCTTACGGGTCCATTGCAAGAGGTCGCCGAGACGGATGTGCCCTGTTTCAGGAGTACGAAAGTGCTACAAAGCAATACCGTGCAGTGAAGCAGAGAATGACGGCGCAACGGCAGTCAAGGCGCCGTCAGGCGTACTTCGAAGCCAGAGACAATGCGCTGATCGAGGCACAGCTTGGTGGTCATGCAGTCCCGTCTTTTGCTCAGCCTATGGAGGAGGAGATCTACCATCGTGTTCCAGAAAGAGCGTTCTTGGCAGGGCTGGCTGTAACGCTGGAGACGTCCACGACAAATTACTGGACCTCCGTGCGAACGCTATCGACACCTTGGCTCGACTATGTAGACGAGTAGAGCCACGATCGACCAAACTCCAACATCTCAAGCCGCGATCCGAAAGCCCTCCCAACAGCGCCTCCTGATACAAGCCGAAACGACTTCCCAAAGACATGTTTGAAGACACAGTGCCTGTTCTGTTTGGGCGATGAGATGCTTTCCGTACCAGACCGCCAGAGGCAATTCTCAAAGGAGTACACCATGCAGAAGCACACGGAGCATTGCCACTTGAAGAAGCTTTACCAGTTCACCGAAATCCCATGCCCACATCCATACTGTCGACAAACAGTGGTCACGTTGCGCGACGTACAACACCTCAAGAGTCATGCTCAAGTCGTACATGGAGCCAAGTTACGAAAGTCGAGAGTGTAACTCCAGCTCGAACATTCTGCCAACTGAGACCGGGCGATTCCAGTACTTGCAGTTCAGCAAGCTGCATCGCAATATTGAATGACTTCAATTCTCTTCTCAATAAGGTGAAACCGTCGAGGAACAGAACTGCCCTTTTTACACTGCGGAATAAACTGTAACCCTGAACGATATCGGAAATACCACCTGGCCAGCACTCACAATCTCATCTGCATCAATGACACATACTCTACCAGATTCGTGGCTTCCCAAGACTGCCCCAACAGGTGCTGCAGAGCGAGGGACCCCGAAAGCGGCCAGCGATGCTGTTGACGTATATCGTCAAATATCATTAGCTGTGCGAGTGACAGCTCTGTGGTCGATCGAAGCAAGACTTTTCTCAACATTTGACGTCATGCCGTGATGGCATGGCGTCCTGATGGTCTGGACTGAAGCGAGCCTACATGATACTCGGGAGGTTACCACTGCATCGATTGAAACATTGCCGGAAGCATCGCCTGATGGGGTTTGCCCACGGTCGGCGATATCTGATTCTTGTGGCTGGCGGGCGATAGGCGCTACCTGATGTTCGGGCATTTCTATTGAAATCAAAAGCCTGAATGGTACATAAGTACCTGGTTGCAATCCGAGTACAATGACAACTTGCCTCTCTGCCGCTACTTTCCGTGGGAAGACTGTGACACGTCACTCAGCTCATATGTCCTGGTCTTATACGTCTTTGACTCTGTCCAGCCGTGGTACTGCATCTCCCATCCGGCCTATCGTTATCTGAGACAGAGGTCTCGAATTTGGGCTGAAGCGTCAAGGACGAGGGTAACTAATAGGTATAGATTACTCGAAATCCACCTGAATCTCGTTAGCTCCCTCTCCTATCCCGGGAAGAGAGAGGACGAAGCGATCTGCCTTACAAGATGGAAAAGACTACGAATGCCGAGAAACTCATAGCTTACGCTTTCATAAACCGAGATCTGCTCAAACAGGCGCTCGTTGCCGCAGGGAGCCGCGAAGTCAAGAACATTAATATTTAGCACGATGGCGCAAACAAGGGCCTTGCAATAGTTGGGGATGCTCTAATTCGGCTTATTATTGTTGACGAATAGTTCTCTAGACAAGAGACTCGCGGTGGGCATAATTTCGCGGCTTCATCGTAGATAACGGCGCTAATTCCTACCTATAGCAAAATGTGAAGCGACGGTCCAAAAGCTTACTTATAACGAACACCTTAGCACTTAAGGCCACGAAGCTAACGTCGACTCTAACATCTTCAAAAACACGAGTCAAAGAGGTGTTGTAGCAAGAACCACTATAGCGACTACTGTCGAGGCTATTATCGGGGCCGCTTAGTACGACAGCGGGAAAGCCTTCGAAGTGGTTTACTCAATTGTTAAGAAAGCTATTAAGTGAGGTAACTACTGGCACAGCTCTTAGTATTACCGTTTCTTGTCGACAGTAGATCGCTCAAGACCAAACTCTATAGGAGCTTCCACGTACCAATCAACGAGCCAAGATTTCGTATTATTCCTAATAATTGCTCCTATGTCGCAACGGAATGCTGCCGTAGACACGAAGAGGCAAAGACACCTTCCACCACAATACATATTCTGGAGTCAGTCCATTAAGTCTGAGGTACACCGCATGAATGACTACGTTCGAGCATCATCTCGTCCTAACTCTTAATCAAGTCTCGCAGGCATTGATGTTTTCGCGGAGCCTGGAGCTGTCTTCCCCCAGAACGCGATTCTAGGCTTGTAGTTGCGCATTATCCTGCTCCAGTTGAGTAATATACTGCTATTGCAGACGACTTCGCTCGTTGCAAAGCTCTGTATGTGTCTCCGACGTAATATTGGCTGACTTGAACAAGTTGTTTGCCTTTTTCACTTCCTCCCGAGCGCTTGTTAGCGCGCAGCTCACTCGATCTGTGTCGTCGGCCATTTATCTCCTAGACGATCACGAACGGCTTGCGTGTCCGGCGGATTGTGAGGTTGTTTAGCGGCTGGCCTCTCACTTGAGCTGGCCTTGGCGTGCTGGTACGAAGGGTAAGCGTGTTTTCGATCGTGGAAGTCAGGCCGATATGGCACTTACCCAGTCTCAAGACCAAAAGGATAATTGAAAGCAAAGACCCCTGTGCAACTGAATGAAAGCTGGAGTGTTTACACTGGCTTAATTATGAGCTCTCTCCAGTTACACATGGACTTCGCGATAGCAAAAATGCTCCGCTGCCATTACGTCAGAGCGGACATATCCATCACTCGGAAGATCCCGCTTCGGACCTCACTTCATACTTTACCATTATCAACGACATCCTAATTCACTTTTGCCATCTGGCAACGGGCACAGCGGGCCCAGCGGGCCTGGCTCTTCGTTAACGGGCCAGATGAGACATTGCGGAGGTACGTCTCTGAGCAGCAAAGACCCTCGCATATCGACCGTGAGGAACTGTACCTCGGACACTCTCGTGCTTAAGCTGCGATTCGTGCATATATCGAATGACCTCGACCCTGGGTAGGAGCTGAAGCTGGAGAGCTGCAGAACCTGCAGGCTCTCAAATGCAGGTCGCGGAATGCAGGAAGATAGCAAAAATCTGAGCCAAGCACATTCTACCGTGAGCTAAAGGACGACCCGCGATTTCTTCAGCGCATCCGTCTTTGACGCTATCATTGGACCAGCACAGCAATTGGTAACAACCTCGCAGCTTTGAATACGGGCATTCTGGTTGCCGCCCAACGACTGCCGCTAAATAATTAACTTGTAGCAGCCTGTCGTCAATTTTTTCTTGTCATTAAACCCTCACTCGGATTCATCATGGCTGTGGTGGAGCTGCAGTCCGAAGACCACCGTAACCTTCTTGACATTATCGATAAATTTCGGTTGGCTGGCATTACCCGCTTCATTGACCTCCCGCAAATTGTTGTTTGTGGTGACCAGTCAGCTGGAAAGAGCTCCGTGCTCGAGGCCATCTCGGGCATTCGTTTCCCAACCAAAGATAATCTCTGCACCCGCTTTGCCACCGAGCTTGTACTCCGTCGAGATGTTAAAGACAATATCAAAGTTTCCATCATCCCTGGACCAGATCGAGACGAGGAGGAGTGTGAGCGTCTGTCGATGTTCCGTTACGAGCTTGCTTCCGAAGATCCAGACCTTTCCCATATAATCGAACAGGCTAAGCAGACGATGGGTATTTCAAATGCGAAGGTCTTTAGCAGTGATTTACTCCGGGTGGAACTCCAAGGTCCAGCTCAACCTCATCTAACTCTTGTTGACCTTCCAGGGCTGTTCCGTGCAGGAAACAGCGAACAATCTGTCGAAGGAGCTCCTATGGTTCGTGGAATGGTTCGAGAATATATGGCAAAGCCACGGTGCATCATTTTAGCCGTAGTATCGGCAAAAAGCGATTTTGCGCTTCAGGAAGTCACCAGCTACTCTCTCGAGCTGGACCCTGGGGGTGTACGCACGTTGGGTCTCATTACGAAGCCTGATACTTTGTCGAAGGGCTCCGAAAGCGAAGTCGCTTACATTGCCATGGCTCAGAACCAGGACGTTGTTTTTCGACTTGGCTGGCATGTTTTGAAGAACCGCAGTTTTGAGACCCGGGACGTACCTTCAAGTGTCCGTGATCGTCAAGAGGCTCAATTCTTTGAAAATGGGGCATGGGCATCATTGGATCCCAGTACTGTCGGCATCAAGTCTTTGAGACCTCGCTTAAGCAACATACTGCGAGACCAAATTCTCCAGAATCTTCCCGGCCTGCACGCGGATGTTTCTGCTGGCATCACTGATTGCGAGGTACGACTGTCGTACCTTGGTGAAACACGAACAACTGTACGAGATCGACGTCAGTACCTGCACCGTGTCAGCTGGAAGTTCTCGACATTATTGAAAGCTTCTGTTGATGGAGCGTATAGTGACCAATTCTTTGGGCGTGCGCATACGAGACATGGCCAGCAAAAACGCCTACGAGCGGTGGTTCAGAACTGCTTAGACGATTTTGCGGAAAGCATGAGGACGAAAGGCCATGCTCAGTTGATTGTCGAGGGTGATCAAGCAGACGTGGTCAATGATGGAGAAGTGATATCACGGACAGACTATATCAGCTATGTCTCAAAGTTGATGCGCCATAGCAGAGGAACGGAATTACCTGGAACATTCAATCCAGGAATTATTGGCGAGCTTTTCAGAGACCAATGTCGGCCTTGGCGAAACCTGGTCGTGCAAACGTGCCATACTATAGTACAGCGTGTTCGCTTCGCGATGCGGGCGATACTCGAAGATGTTGCTCTAAGCGACAATGTTGATGCCATATCTTCATTCGTCAACCGGGCGATCGATGGCCTCGAGCGGGACGTGGAAACCAAGGCAGACGAATTACTGAGGCCCTATCTTTCTGGACACCCAATAACCTACAACCATTACCTCGTCAGCAATGTGCAAAGACTTCAAGCCGACCGCCGTCGACGTGTACTCCAAGAAACCGTACGGAGCAAATTCGATCCACACTATGGTAGCCTGTCGATTGACGAGCAAGATATCAGCGGGCTTATTGGCGCAATTCAGGAACGGGAGGAAGTCGACATGGGCCGATATGCGAGTCAGCTTGCGATCGACTACATGCAAGCATACTACAAAGTAAGTCACGATTTCGCCACAAGTCACAGACAATCTCAACTTGATGCACAGGTTGCCATGAAGAATTGTATTGACGACATCGCAATACACGTCATCGAAGCTCACCTTATCCGGAAACTTTCGCTTGTGTTCGATCACAAAGTCGTCGAGGAACTTGACGACTTCGACCTCTCCCGCCTGGCATCGGAGAAAGAAACGGCTGCTAGTGATCGCGCTCACAATCTAGAAAAGCTCGAGAACTTCAGAAAAGCGCTGCGAGAGCTGGAAGGCCTTGACAAGCATTATTCTCTATCAAATGGTCTGCTGTTTCATGCAATTATAAGTGAGTGCTGACCGACTAAAATTCATTGATGACAGATATCCGCGCCCAGGGTTATCGATCAAATAAGGGGTCGAATGAGAATAGCTACGTTGACGGATTGAGTTCACACATTGGATCAAGGTGACCACTTGATGAGGACGACAGACGAGGCAATACAATACAGCCGAATGATCCTATTGAGCTCCTACCAGAGTCTATAATCGAGACGAAGATGCCAATACAGAAGAGGCAAAAAAAGGCAAAGAAGCAGATTGTCGTAGATTCAGACTGAATAGCTTTGGCAAAATGCAAAATCCCCATTGAAAAAATGTCTCATGCGTCCTGATTTGTTCCCGTGGCATGGTTTGGAATAACATTCGTAATTTAGTCTACGCGCGTCGGTCAGACTCCAGCACAATCGGCATTAGCTCTTCGAACCCGCAGTCGAGAGATGCTGCAACTGAAAGAAATGTTGGAATTCAAACAATCAAGCCCCGTCATGCAGGTATCAGTTTGTGCAAATAAGGGTCTGTGAAGAAATTTATCAACGAAGGCATATTCTCTCAACTTTCCAGCTTGCTGGCTTCATCCTGATAGTAGCCAAGCCTTCGATGTAGGCAAAACTCTTGACACAGTAAGACTGTCCACGGCGCTTCAAGACGTACGGAGTCCATCCACCTCCCAAGAATGCTACAACATCGTCTTTGCATGCCTCACCGGATACTGTTCGTCCAAGAAAGCCACCTTTTGTGACGAAGATACATTCCGATTCGTATTGCGAAATCTTGCTGTGGCTGAGGTGCTCCTGCGTGAATCTAGCTGTCGAATTGACCACGTCACTTGCGCTGGAGCATTGCCTGTCAAAGGTGAACAGGGGTTCAAAAGCTGATACGAGACCAGCATAAGCCTTCGGAAAGTCCTCGTTCTTGATCATGGAGTGCTGTGAATTTCTCATGGATATGAGGTAAAGCCATGCTAGAAACAGGTGTTCTCCAAGGCATGGCCTAGGTCTTCTTATTTGAGAGCTTGGATTGAGCAGAGTTCATAAGGCTTCAATCGTCAGCTGGTAACACCCAGTGCTTGGCGCAGGTTGCTGTTGTATCGAATAGTGAAGAAGCCTGACTTGCGAGAGACATCTTTTTGGGTACCAGGACCATTGACTCAGGATGATCTCCGCTTCTGACAACTGTTGCAACAGCTCTTCCTTCCATATTTGAGGTGTCTTCGATGGCAGCCAGCCTTTGCGAGACGCAATGTATTCCTGGAACAAGCTAAATTTTCCATGTTCCTGGGAGATGCTTTCGAGCTCTTGAATAATTTTGACGATGTTCTCGATGTCTCCACAGTCTCCGACGCTATGGCACCACTCAATGGAGTCGAGCAGGTGCGCATCCAAGCATAGAAGCTCTCCGCAGATGTTGTACGCCCCCTTAATCAGTCTGCTGGTGCTCTCAGATGCAAATTCAACAGCTAGCTCGCAGATACCTGATGTGAAATCAGGCGCCCATGTGGGAAGGTTCATCGCCTTCCGACTGGTGACACCATTGCCCCAAATGGTACAGATCGTCTGTCTCTTGGATACAAGCGCAACTAGTCCTCAACATCAGTTCCTCAATATCAAGATTATGGCCTGATGTCTCGAGCCACTCGATTGTGTATTTACTCATGGCGTACGCTGCATAGATATGATCATGTTTGCGTGTCTCCTTAGAGTATGTCAGAGCTACCAAGGCACCTGCGAGGGTCGTGCCATGTTCTGGTGTTCTCCATCTCTGCCGTGCGTCCATAACAGTTTGGAGTGATCCTGTAAAGCGCAGTCCTGGGTGCTGCGGGTGAAAAAGTAGTAGACTGCGGCCTACGAATGCTGAAGTAAAAAGTGACCAGGAGATGATGTGAGGACCACGACAGATTTTTACATGCGGTGCCTTGGCAACCTCTCGTTCGATCCAGGTGCGCTGAAAGTAAGAATTCGAGAACATGCCATCAATCTCGCACCAGAGTTCGAAGTTCTTGAACTGGAATATAGTCTCATCGCTTTTCCCTGGCTTTCGGGACAGACAGGCAGTAGAACATTTACGGTCACTGTCCAGTTCTGCCATGAGCATGTCTTCATCACGGATGAAAACACTTGCTCCGCTTGGCTGCTTTTCGAATACGAAGGGCCCGAAATCATTTCTCTCCATGCCTGCGAAGGCGTTGTGCTGCCGAGCAAGTAGAGCAAGGGAGTGTAGAACCTCTACCGCGGCAGTACTGTTTGGGGTGGAACAACCGAGCCACACCAAAGTGGCCATGGAGCGTTCGTAAACCTCTTCCATTTGCACGAGTTGCTTTTGTACCTCATCTTTACACTCTTGATTCACGCATATACCGTCTGCCCAGAGCATTCGAGCCTTCTCTTTCCCCCGCATTCCCTTTATTGTGCGCGCAAATAAAGCATGCCATCCCTCGCGGGTATAGCCGCAATTCTGAGCTCCCGACTTCACACTATAATATGTTAGTAAAACCGGGAATAGTCCACTATTCTTGTACTATATCGCTCGTTTGACGTGTTATCGACTCTATAATAGTATAGGCCAGTCCTAGGTGTTATTATAGGCCTTACTACCTATTATAATACCCTCGTATAAGCCGCCGCTAGCTAACTAACTACTACTATATAATCTTAATAGGATATTTGACTTCTTTAACGTAGGACTATCGAATAACTAGACGGCTAAACGAATAAATATAAGCCGCTACTATATCGATAAGATCCGGCTTAATATAGCGTTATTCGATAAGCTATATCTAACTTTTATAAAAAGAGGCTAGCTATACCTATTACTCGAATAGTAAGAGCTACGAGTACTAGACTTCCTTCGCGACCGCCCTATATCCTACTACGACGAGACGGTATAGTTTATATATAACGAGTTTAATATTATCGTATTAGAGCGATATATAAGCGAGCTACTAAGAAGGAGGCGCTTCTTAAGGAAGAAAGTATAATATATAGCCGTAGAGGCTAGTTAAGAGTTAAGAGATAACTAGCGTAATAAGATAAGGATAATACCGGCTTATAGAGTCTATTAGGTTAATAAGAGTACCTTAAACGAAAGGACTAGATAGCGTAAATACGGATATTCCTCTATTAGACTACCTTATAAGGATATTAGTAGAGCTAAACGATTAATAAGGTAGTCTATATTACTAGTAATAACTAATAAA